AACATAGGAATTATCTTTTCCATAGCATTTAATAGATATTCCCTATAAAACTATTTGGTACTGATGCTTTTCAGGGGAGGGGGAGTAATTCTTTGGTAAATTTTTCTAATTTTGTGTATGTGTACGGTTATGGTCTGTTCGGCTCTCTTCTTTTTCGGTTTTAAAAACAAATTATGCCAAAAGTATATGTAGTTTGCTAAGTACAGATCACTTAAGAATCAAAGAGTTCTACAAGATTTGTTAAGAAAACCACCAGGCCCTAGCCTCTCTGCTTTCCATTTTCTCTTCCCCAAGGCTTTTAACTAATTCTTTTTCCCCCCACATATGTTTTTATTGATTTCAGAGAGAGGAAGGGAGTGAGAGAGAAACATCAATGATGAGAGAGAATCATCAATTGGCTGCCTCCTGCATGCCCCCTACTGGGACTTGAGCCCACAACTCAGGCATGTGCTCTGACTGGGAATCGAACCAGTGACCTCTTGGTTCATGGGTTGACACTCAACCACTGAGCCACACCGGATGTAATTCTTTTGATATTTGTATGCATATATTAAATTATATACTTAGAGCTACTTAATTTTTTAGTTAGACATTATCTATTGACTTCCCCTTGGTTAGAGATAACATTTTTTTATGAATTTGTTAATTTCTCCTTATAATTCTAGTTTTGGTATATGCATTTCAATGCACTCTCCCTGCCTCCATCATTTCAGTATAGTTAGAATTTTGGTTTGATTAATAGTTCTCAAAGTATAGTCCAAGGACCCATAGAGGCCCCTCACACTTTTTCAAGGGATCTGTGAGGTCAAAATTATTTTCATAATAATACAAAGACTTATTTGCTTTTTTCACTCTCATTCTTCCATGAGTGTACAGTGTTTTCCAGAGGCCATGTGATATGTAACATTGCAAAAGCCTGAATGCACAAGAAAATAGGAGAATCCAGATGTCTTCCGTTAATGCAAAAATGTAAAACAGTGCCACTCTTCTTATTCTGAAGGGAAAATATATTTTATATAAAAGTGGTTTACCATGTAATTATTATTATTTTAAAGGAAATTAACAAATATATATTTTATAATATTTTCAGTTTTAAATTCCCCAAAGCTTTTAAAATTTTACCCTAGTTTCTTATCATAGCCCGTGGAAGAGGAGTCAGGGTTTAATAAATGCTAGTTGAAGATGTCTACAGTGCCTGCACACATGTATTGTAATACTGGCCTTCTGTTTTGGTTCATTCTTTCACTTCTAGATGATCACCTATTATTGAGTACAACTATGCATTTCCAAAGTTATCTATACATTACATGCCTGTAGAGGGGCTCTAATTGTCAGTGGGACATTGTGGTGGACATTTGTCATTTGAAGCTGCCCAGAATCTTTTGAAGACCCTTCCTTTACATTTGCATAGCCTTTAAATTGTGAGCCCACTTTACCAAGGTAGAATCATGGTTATAAGAGCTAAGGTTCCCTTGGTCATATGTACTTGAGTGGGTTTGGATGCAGATGTGAGCAATATGGAACAATATTGAGCATTTAGAACTACTCTCCAATATGGTAGCCATTTATTTTATTTTGTGTTTTTTTAAAATATATTTTTATTGATTTCAGAGAGGAAGGGAGAGGGAGAGAGAGATAGAAACATCAGTGATGAGAGAGAATCATTGATCGGCTGCCTCCTGCATGCCCCACACTGGGGATCTAGCCCGCAACCTGGGTATGTGCCTTTGGCAGGAATCAAACCTGGGACCCTTCAGTCCGCAGACCGACACTCTATCCACTGAGCCAAACCAGCTAGGGCAAGCCATTTAAGGTAATTAAAATTAAATAAAATGAAAAGTTTGGTTCCTCAGTTACACTAGCCACATGTCAAGTGCTCGTAGCCATATATGACTAGCAGACAGCATAGAAACAGTGCTGATGATTTCCATCATTGTAACACGTTCTACTGGGCAGTGCTGATCTCGAAGGTGCAGTGTCAACTACTCTTTCTGAGTCACTAATCCAGAGCAAGCTCCATGCAAAGCTGTAGGTGGTAGAGGTGGCAGTGGCAGTAATGAATTTTCTGGAACGGTTCCACAATGTGGCTGGGCACTCTGGGGCATTCAAGTACAGCTCTCCTATCCTCCTGGAGATTTTGTGAGCTTCCCTTCCCAACATCCTGTATCATAAATCACAGTGGAGTGGACTTTACTGTATTCATTTAAGAACTCTGACTTATACTGAAGTGCTTTCTGACACTCTTGATATTGGAAAGATCAATTGAATAATCCAATTAGCCAGCTTTATGGCTAAGATTAGATTTGATCTGGTGGATTAGATTTCCATTGCTAAATCAAAAGATCATAAATTGACTGATGAAATGATATTGAGATATCGCTAAATGGATAATTGCACACTGTTACTAACTTAGAGAATCGGTGTTTCTCTAGATTTTAATCATCTCTAATATTACCATGTTGGTTTCACAACTTGTAGAGTCCCTTAAGAGAAAGGAAGCCTTGCTCCAGCTGGGTGGCTCAGTTGGTTGGAGCGTTATCCTGTATACCAAAAGGTTGTGTGTTTGATTCCCAGTCAGGGAAAATACTAGGTTGCAGGTTCGATCCCCGGTCAGGGTGTGTACTGGAGGCAACCCATCTATGTCTCCCTCTCACATCAACAATATCTCTCTCTCTCTCTCTCCTCTCTCTCTCTCTCTCTCTCTCTCTCTCTCTCTCTCTCTCTCTCTCTCTCTCAAAAAAAAAAAAAAAAAATAACATATCCTCAAACGAGTCTCTAAAAAAGAGAGGAAAAAGGATGCCTTTGCACTGCCTTGAAGATGGCCTGACAACAAGGCATAGCAGGACCTTCCAGCCATCCCTGAAGTGTTGTGAGAAGAACTTGAGTTGATCTCCAGGGCTGTGTTAGGGCATCTAGCATAGGGCTGATGATCTTTTGGGGGGGGGGGGGTAAATGATTGTATGGATGTTTACCTATCTTCCAGTATTATTTCAACTTCTGGTAAATGATTGTATGGATGTTTACCTATCTTCCAGTATTATTTCAACTTCTGCCTTTGTTGGGCAATGCTTTGCTATCTCAGGAGTCTCTTCTTTAAGGTCTCTAGACTCTGGGAATTTCCTCAAAATGGTGCTTCTGAGACCACAATATCTTTGCTACTTATGCTTTTTCTATAGAAAGTGGGATTGAAGGTTAAGAGGTGGCATTCCAGTGAATGACCTTTTGTGGAAAAGAGTTGTAGTTTCTTCTTATACTCAAGGTGACTGACATTTCAAAAAATAAGGAGGCTATTTTTCCTCATATAATCATATTTCTGCTGCCTGTTGAAGAAGACATTGACCGGGATGTCACTATCCTTTTAAATTAGTATGCTAGATTGAAATGCCATTTATTTGGTAAGTTAGTCTTTTATCCCCCCCCCCCAATCTGGATCTTGTTCATCTCTTGTCTCCCCTTTCCCCATTATTTTTTTATTGTGGTATAATTTATTGATCTACATTGAGGCATAATGTACATACCATAAAATTCCTTGTTTTAAATGTACAGTTCAAATATTTTTAGGAAATTATGAGTTGTGCAATCATCACCACAATCTAATTTTATTTCTTTAAATATATTTTTATTGATTTCAGATAGGGAGAGGGAGAGAAAGAAAGAAACATCAATGATGAGAGAGAATCATTGATTGGCTGTCTCCTGCACACCCCCTACTGGAGATCAAGCCTGCAACCCCGGGCATGTGCCCTTGACCGGAATTGAACCTGGGACCCTTCAGTCCACAAGCTGAGGCTCTATCCACTGAGCCAAACCAGCTGGGGCACCACAATCTGATTTTAGAACATTTCCATCTTCCCCCCCAAATTCCCTCTTCCCCTTTGCAGTCCTACCATGATCCTATCCCTAGACCCCAATAACTCTCTGTTTCTATAGATTTACCTTTCTTGTGCCATAGACACAGAGCTTCCATTGGGTTATTTTTATTGAATAGATTTCCATCCGGTCCTCCTGTCTGAGTATCACCTCCATTCCACTTCCCCTGGCACCTTGGCAATCAGTTCCTGAGCCTTTGGGTGGGTGGGGCTCTTAGATATTAAGTCAGGATGTTTTATTCACTGCCAATTTAAGATTTTAGCTTTCTGGGTATGCTAAGTCAGTTAGCAATCATTCATTTACCTGTTCACCAGCTTCCAAAATGCTATTGATACTTATTTCCAATTCTTTTTTTCCTTCTGGGTTTATACCTTTAAAATAACAAAACCATCCTGGCTGGTGTGGGTCAATGGTTAGAGCATCTTGGGTTCGATTCCTGGTTGTGTGGGAGGCAACCAATTGATGTGTCTCTTTCACATTGATCCCCCCCCCCCCCCCCGCGCATCTTCCCCCTCCCTTCCACTCTCTCTAAAAATGAATGGAAAAAATATCCTCAGGTGAGGATTAAATAAATAAATAAATAAATAAAAACAAAACCAAAAAACTTTAGTATATTTTTAATGGAGTCTCAGGAATGAGTGTGTTGGGGGCAGGAGAGTAGTGGTAAGCACATGTGTGCAATCTACTACTATCTATAACTAGAAGTCTTCCCCACTAATGTTGATTTACCCCTTTCACTGAAGTTACTGAAAGACTGGAATTTATTCATTGTCCTTGGGGAATGCAGAACTCAAAGTAACTTCTGTGGGGCAGATAGCCTATTACTCACATGTTGGCCTTTTCTAACATGGGCCCTAAGTGTTAAATGTTAAAAGTGGGTCATATGAAGAGTGAGGGAGCCTGTAAGCAGCCATAGCTGATTCCACGTGTGTGCACGCTTCCAGAGCTGTATCTGAATTAGCATTTGCTCCTTGTTTGACGGGTTTTCAGTCTGTGCCCATTATAAAAAACATCACAGGGTTTTAAAATCCAAGCTTGGCCGTCCATGCCTCTCTTTTCATCACACCCTCTGTGCTCTGGCTTTGTCTTAAGCTTTTCTTAGTCTTAACACTTTCTTTGTTTTCCCATAGGATCATGGATTTTCCTGGACACTTTGAACAGATCTTCCAGCAACTGAACTACCAAAGACTTCATGGCCAGCTCTGTGATTGTGTCATCGTAGTGGGGAATAGGCATTTTAAAGCCCATCGCTCTGTACTGGCAGCCTGCAGCACGCATTTCCGAGCCCTGTTCTCAGTGGCAGAGGGAGATCAGACCATGAACATGATCCAGCTGGATAGCGAGGTAGTGACAGCGGAGGCCTTTGCCGCACTGATTGACATGATGTATACTTCCACCCTCATGTTGGGGGAGAGCAATGTTATGGATGTCTTATTGGCAGCCTCTCACCTGCATTTGAACTCTGTTGTTAAGGCATGTAAACATTACTTAACGACAAGGACACTGCCCATGTCTCCCCCCAGTGAGCGTGTTCAGGAACAGAGCGCCCGCATGCAGCGCTTCTTTATGCTGCAGCAGCTGGGACTAAGCATAGTGAGCTCAGCCCTCAATTCCAACCAGAATGGCGAGGAGCAGCCAGCCCCGATGAGCTCCTCAATGCGTAATAACCTGGACCAGCGCACGCCCTTCCCCATGAGACGCCTTCATAAGCGTAAGCAGTCTGCAGAAGAAAGGGCCAGGCAGCGCCTCCGACCTGCCATGGATGAGTCTGCCATTTCCAATGTTACGCCAGAGAATGGGCCTTCAGGGGTTCATTCTCGAGAAGAATTCTTCTTGCCAGATTCTCTGAAAATTGTGGATAACCCTAAGGCCGATGGAATGACCGACAACCAGGAAGACAGTGCCATCATGTTCGACCAGTCTTTCGGTGCTCAAGAAGATGCCCAGGTACCCAGCCAGTCTGACAACAGTGGTGGCAACATGGCACCATTGTCCATGGCCTCCCGTGCAACTCAGGTTGAGACTAGTTTTGAGCAGGAAGCTGCAACTGAGAAAAGTGGTTTTCCGTGTGAAAATCCTGAGGTTGGCCTTGGTGAGAAGGATCACATGAGAGTGGTGGTGAAATCTGAGCCCTTGAGCTCTCCTGAGCCTCAGGATGAAGTGAGCGACGTGACCTCACAAGCAGAAGGCAGCGAATCTGTGGAAGTGGAAGGAGTTGTGGTCAATGCTGAGAAGATAGACCTCAGCCCTGAAAGCAGTGATCGGAGTTTTTCAGATCCCCAGTCTAGCACTGACAGGGTAGGTGACATCCATATTTTAGAAGTCACAAATAACTTGGATCATAAGTCCACTTTTAGTATTTCAAATTTTCTTAACAAGAGCAGAGGAAGTAACTTCAGTGCCAATCAGAACAATGATGATAATATTCCAAACACCACTAGTGACTGCAGGCTGGAGTGTGAGGGTCCTTATTTGTTGAGTCCAGAGACTGGGCCGGTGGGCGGGCCCTCCTCGGCCACTGGCTCTCATGTGGAAAACCCATTCAGTGAGCCTGCAGACTCCCACTTTGCGAGGCCTATGCAGGAAGCCATGGGCCTGCCCTGTGTGCAGAGTTCAGGCTATCAAGGAGAACAGTTTGGAATGGATTTTTCCAGGTCTGGTTTGGGCCTCCACTCCTCCTTCTCCAGGGTAATGATGGGCTCCTCAAGAGGAAAGGCCAGTAACTTTCCATACTACCGCCGTATTGCTCCCAAAATGCCCATTGTAACTTCTGTCAGGAGCTCACAGATCCCAGAAAACTCTGCCAGCTCCCAGCTTATGATGAATGGGGCCACGTCCTCATTTGAAAATGGGCATCCTTCCCAGCCCGGCCCTCCACAGCTGACCAGGGCCTCTGCTGATGTCCTGTCCAAATGCAAGAAGGCCTTATCAGAGCACAACGTCTTGGTTGTAGAGGGCGCTCGCAAGTATGCCTGCAAAATCTGCTGCAAGACTTTTCTGACCTTGACAGATTGTAAGAAGCACATCCGTGTTCACACAGGTGAAAAACCCTATGCCTGCCTGAAGTGCGGCAAGAGGTTCAGTCAGTCCAGCCACCTGTATAAACATTCCAAGACTACCTGCCTGCGCTGGCAGAGCAGCAGTCTTCCCAGCACTTTGCTCTAACCCTGACCTCTTGAGATAATGCTGATGTCAGTTGTAGGAAACTAAAATCTCTTGGTTGAGAGCTAATACCCTTGGGTTTGAGGCTTCAGGCTGCCCAATGGCTCTTGCCAATTTCAGTGGCTCAGAGAGAACTAATATGTGTAGCACTAGTGCTGCTGCATTTCTGAGTGAAATGCACGCTTTCAGAGAGGGACGCAGCCCTCGAGCCAAGTTCTCTTAGGGTTGAGGACTGTAGTCAGAAAGTAGTTTCTAATTGATGTTAAAAATGGCACATGTAAAAATTAAAAATTGAAGTGCAAAAAAATTTTTTAGCAATTTTTGTAAAACTCTGTGAAGCATTTAATTAAAATTCCTATACCCTCTGATGGGAATATTATATACCTGAACAGTGATGCAAAACTCACCTATGTGTAACCAGTGGCGACTTTGTGCCCGTCTAAAAGGCCCTTGAGGACGACACACCTGTCGGCCACAAATGCTGTAGAGCCTATCGTGAGCTGGTCCTAGGCCTCAGAAAGTACTGTATTTTTATTTTTGTCTGACTTGCAGTCACAGACACTGCACTTTGATGGTGCTGACACTGGGTCCAGAGCGAGCATTCTCTGGGCTTTTGGGTGTATATACTTTTGAAAACATCACTGTTGGATAGATGTTTTAACAATTTTTCCTGGTTTTAAAAACAAGGTTGTAAATGGAGTATGTACTTGTAGGGAGTGACCAGTAAGGTACTGTTTCTGTGTGTGCTGTTTTAGCAGTATTTTAACCAACTTGTATACATGTTACCGTTCCACGTTTGGGAGTCAGAAAAGAGCTAGTGTTTGTCTTTGTTCTGATGATGTGGAGTCCTGTTCTGTGGGATCTTTCACGGCGCATTTACGCTTTGCTCCATCCAGACTTCAGGGCCAGTCCAGCCTGACACATCTTACCCAGTGACACGCCACGCCTGTTCTCTGCTTCGCTTTTTCACTCTCGCCCTATATGGCTTCGTTCCCAGGGCCTAGATTGCTGTTTTCAGTTATAACCAAAAACCATGGATTTATTACTGTTATATACTATAGTTTTTCAAAGTATAGAATGTGAACTTTTGTTGTTGCCCCAGCTCAATACTGCATGTTTGAAATCCAGGCATAGCAGTGTTCACCGATATTTTCCAGCCTTATAAGAGGGTTGGAGAGCCCAGAACATAGAAGTCACCAATTAGCATCTGAGACTGTTACAAGGAACATTTGGGTCACTGTCCAGGGCCTCTTTGGGTCCCACTGCCTCACTTCCCCAGCCAGGCTGTGGTCTCCTGACCCTGTTATCAGGGCTGCTGGTGGCACCTGTGTCAGGCTGAGCCCTGGCTTGTGTGCTTCCAGGGAAACGGCACACGTTCCTGTGTGTCTGTAGAGCTCATGAAGTCAGTTTCATTCATGCATGGACATGAGTTCATTCTTTATACAGCTTAGACACCAACCATTGTGCATAATTGAGAGAAATCCTTCCATTTTTGTGTTTAGAAAGCTAAGTATGTGTAGCCTAAAACAAAAATCAGCGTGTTTTTTCCTCTTAATCTAGTGTGTGCAGTTACACACCTGTCTGGATAAACTCAGAATGCTCATAGTTGGGCTTGGCATCTCCTGTGAACAGATTCCCAGGGAGGAAAGGAGGACTCTAAGATTTCTCTCCTTTCCAGCAGACGTGGGAAAGAGACCACTGGAGGACACGGGGTCACCTGTGAAATTCAGTGTGTGTGTGGCTAATTGTTAGCAGTTGTGTTCTGACTTGATGCAGGGAGGCTCTACATCCACCCTTCTACAGTGTGGGGACCAGTGTCTTATGAGATTAACCTTGGCAGGCAGCATGGACAAGAGACCCTGCCTGGGCCTAGGAAGAAGAACCAGTGACACGGGAAGACCAGTGGCAGCCCTCCTTCCCTTCCTTCTTGAGGTGGTGGTGCCCGGAGGCTGCCCGCTCACCTCATCTGTCTTACATGGACTTGGCTCTGGGCCTGTCTCCAGTACTGTGGCTGGAGCCCTACCTTTCCTCTGCTAGGTGGAATCTGGAATTGCATCTACCTCTTTGTTAGTTTCTATGTGAGAAGCAAGCTTGCAGGCCAGTGTCCTCATACAAGCTGTAGTGCTTATAGGATAATTCAGAGGTTCCCTGGAAAACCAGTCCCAAGGATCCTATGATCATTTCTACCTGAATTAACCTGGATTTTGATTGGTTAGCCTTAATTATAGCCTGGCATAATTTCTGATGATCAAATCATAAAGTTCTTTCAGGGCACCCATGTCAGTGGTGCTATGCTAGTCAAAATTTGAGATTTTGAAATAAAAATTTTGTCACATTCATGTCTCTAAATATGTGTTATTTTTCTGTGCTTAGGTTAAAACAAAAAGGGAAGCAGTATTGCTTTCTCTGCTAATGCTTCGACCAATACTTTTTTTTTTAACCAAGTCTTTTAGAAAATAATCTAATGCTCTCAATAACCATTATTGATAATTCCTTCAATTTAGTCCCTTCTGCCTTGCCTACTTCTGTCTGTGTGTGAGCTGTGGGCATGTGTGAGGTTTTCTCAGCCCACCCAGTCTTATTGCTCACTCTTATGCTTCCGCTGCTCCCTTACCTGCCTCCCAGATTGAAAATTCCACTGGCCAGTTTGGCTTGGCTGTGGGGAAGGGCTGGAACCTGCCTCCCTCAGCAGGAGGGCTTTTGGGAGGAGTGAGGTGGCGATTAGAAAAGGGCACCCATCCACCTGGGGGGAGTGGGGATGAGGACAAGATAGACAAAAGGAGCCAAGTGTGATGGTGCTAAAACTAATTTTAAAATAAAAATTAAGAGCTGTGGAGGCCCTGGAGCCAGCCAAGCCCCCACCACACTGCCACCATGGTGGTCGCCACGGACACCCATGAGGACCACAATACCTCCACCGAGAATGCAGACGAGTCCAACCACAACCCTCAGTTTGAGCCTATAGTTTCTCTTCCTGATCAAGAAATTAAAACGCTGGAAGACAAAGAGCATTTCAAAATGTGGGCAAAGCTGTTTTGATTCTCTTCAGAGAATGATCTCCCAGAATGGAAGGAACGAGGCACCGGTGATGTCAAGCTTCTGGAGCAGAAGGAAAAGGGACCATCCACCTCCTCATGAGGGGGGACAAGGCCTTGAAATTATTCGCCAACCACTATATCATGCCAACTGGAGCTGAAGCCAAGCGCAGGCAATGACCGTGCGTGGCTCTGGTACACCCTGCCACCTTTGCTGACGGGCGCCCCAAGCTGGAGCAGCTGGCCATCTGCTTCCCCAATGCTGAAAATGCACAGAAATTCAAGACAAAGTTTGAAGAATGCAGGAAAGAGACTGAAGAGAGAGAAAAGAAAGGAAAACTGGGCAAAAATGGTAATGCTGAGGAAGTGGCTGCAATAGCTGGAAGCTCTTCCGGTGGAAGATAACAGAAGTCCGAAGACGAGACCAAGGAGAAAGCTGAGGAGAAGCAATAAGTGCTCTGCCTTTTTTTTCCTATTCCTTCCTTTTTCATTTTTTAAAATATTTGCCCTGCCCCTTCTTTTTGGCTTGTTTTTATTCTGTTGTTTTTACAAGGGACTTTATATAAAGAACTGAATTCCAATAACAACAAAAAACTCACCTACTTCCAGTTATTCTTCCCTTGTTCTCTTTGCTGAGTATTTAATTTGTCCCAGTGGTCTAGGTCACCCATGGGCTCTGGTTATCCATTCTCAGTGAGGGACCTGTGAAGGAATCTGAGCAGAGGATGAGGGGTAAGGTGGTTTGGACAAGTTCTAGGGGGTAAGGACTGAGGTAGAAGCTGAACTCGCAGGTCACTAGATGCCCTGGTTTAGAAAAGGTAAAGCAGATGCTCTTGTCATTAGCTCCTCCCAGTTACAGCCCAACACAGTCTCTCAGAGAATTATTTAATACAATTACACACTTTTGGCGCAGATGTTTCCACCCACAAGAGTGGCAAGCACATCTCCCAGCACCAGTCTTCCCTCTGCAGCATCAGCCCAGATCGGATTCCATGGCTCCTGTCCTGTGGGTCCAAATCAAGCCTGGCACAGCCGACAGCATCCCGGGCATGTCAGCCTGGCCCTCGGTGCTTCCTGCCTGGTTACAGCTTGAGTTCACTGGGCATTGGCTCCCCTCTCAGGCCAGCCAGCAAGTTGTTGGCTGCCAACAAGGACATGATGTTTCGGGTTCCATGGGTGGCACTGCCAATGTGGGGCAGGATCACTGGAAAGGAGAGGAAGACGGAGTTAAGAGGGTGGTTCAAGAGCCTTACAGCGGGCCCTTCTTTCAGGGTCATGGCTTGCCAGTAAGAAGAATAAAGAGCCGCCTCATATTCCTTGATTTGCCTTCCCTCCTGTCACTCAGCACTCCACTCCCCCGAGGCGGAGGGTCAGAGTAAGAATAACGGGAATCCAAGTTCCGGACACCCAGATGCAAGGATGATGAGGGGTGTGTCTCCTAAACGTAAGAACACCGGCCTAAGGGGTCTTGGAGCTGATCGAGAACTCCATTACCAGATAGTGATCAATGCCAATTTAACTGCTCATCCATACCCTGCGCCCTGAAAGTGAAAGTGATGCCATGGGCTTCTGATCTACAGAAATGACAACGAGGTGAAACCCTGGACAGCACAGCAGAGCGAGTGAGGTCTCGTTCCCACAGAGCGCCTTTAGAAAGTAGTTCTCAAAGTGTGAGCGCTGAGCTGAACGCCCAGGCCTGGGGGGATGGGGACCGTTTTCTGGGCTGTGGGCACAATGCTCCTTTCTGGCTGGCGTGGGGGTAGGAAGAGTAAAGCTTCCAAGGGCTACAATAATGGCAGCATTCATTTAAGGACCTTCTCTCTGGTTTCCATGCCAGAATATGAACCAAGGGCAGGACTGGCCAGACAACCTAAGACCCTTACCGCTCACGGTTACAGTGGAAACAGAAACCATCCGAGAGAGAATTTAATATAAAGTACTGTTACCGAGGTATGAAGTTAACAGGAGGCTAAAAAGAGGACACTGAGGCAGTAGTTCTCCAAGTGTGGCCCAGGCCCAGCAGCATTGGCGAGGAGCATGCTAGACCCGTTGAAGCAGAAACCCTTGGGGGCCCAGCCCCTGTTTGATTGGTCCCCCCAGGTGACTGAGGAACCTAACAGCTTGAGGTTCCCTCAGGCATCACAGAGACTGAGCTGGAAGCATCTGCCAGTACTAGAGGGACGGAGGGGAAGGGTAGGGTTGTTAACAGAAAACTGAAGGAAGGGCCCCTGAGGAGCTGCAACTTGGACCTCTACCTCTGTGGCCGGGGCACTGACTGGCTGTGGCTTGTCAGAGGGGGGCACCACGTTGGGAAAACTGCAAACCAGATGCCCCGGCCACTACAGGAGGAACGGCTGCTGCTCATGAAGACGTGCAGCTGCAGGCCACTCAGCCGGGAAGGCAGGAGGGAGCCAGGGCCTGCTTTCCAGCCTGCCAGGCTGCCTGCAGCATCCACACTGCACCAAGGGCTTAACCCCTGGCCCAGGTTACAGGTACTGGTATTGTAATTGTACTTGTGACTTCTCATACTTAAACTGGTAACAGCAATTTATAGCAATGGGTTTTACCCATGACTAGCTATGGATAAAAGACACCCAGTCAAATCCACTCATCCCTACCTCCATTCATTCCTTTAGGGACACAGGTGAGCACGCTCAGGAGGCCCCTCCCCGCTGTTATGAGGGACCAGTGCCACTCCTGGCATAATTTATGGTCCCTGGGTGTGTCCCTTTGTGTTCGTACAGCGCAGGCAGCTCACACACAGCACCTCCAGACCCTCTAGCCACTGGTCCTGCGAGGCGGTGACTGCACCGAAGATGCAGTTCTTACCACAGTTCTTCAGGGTCAGCAGAGGGTGGCTCGTGGGCAGTGGTTCCGGGGTTGTCACATCCAGTCCAGCAGCTGCAATCTGGCCACTGGCCAAGGCCTGGTACAGGTCGTCCTGGTTCACCACGTCTCCCCCTGGAACACAGTGGTGATGTGGGTGCCCCAGTTCCCTGCACCGAGGCTGCCTTTACGGCAGAACCACCTGTGGAATGAATTTTCCCACCGACCCGGCACCTGCGCTGCCTTCTGAAGCAGGAAGTCTTACATCCTTCCTTACAGTGTGTCTGTATAGTAGGAATACAGGCCGTACCATCAGAGAACCCCACTCCGCCACTTTCTATCTGTGCAACCTTGGGCAAGTGTCTCAAATTCTCTGTGTCTCCGGTTCCTCCTCCGTAATAAGGGGAACCTAACCCCAGGAGTGCTGGAGGCTGCAGCTCACTGACATCACTGCTGCATGAATGGGGCCCCGCCCAGGTGTTCTGATCTGGGTGCTCCCCCGACCACCCACTGTGCTCTGCCATCAGACACCTGACTAACCAAGGGCAGAGACGGGATCCACCTAAGCACACCCATTCCAGTGAGCAACCTTCCTTCCTGCCACTGAACCACCAAGTGAACCACCAAGTAATATGCCATATTGTGCACTAAGTAACACTTGTGCAATAATAACAGCAGCCTGCACAGTCCTGGGTCCATGTGGGGGCTCAGCAGATGGAAGCCATGAGACTCAGCCATCAGCGTGAGCCCTGTGTTCACTTCACCTCCAGATCACCACCTCTGTAGCTAAACATTAGCCCTGGGGGGTGACCTCATCCAACCCCTTCCCTCACCTTTGTTTGCTTCCAGACTGATTTAAGCAGGTTCAAAGGGTACCAGGTAGGAAGGGTTTGGAGAGGCAGAGAGGGAAGGTCTGCCCCTATTCCATGCCCAGTGGCCTGAAGGCACCTGGGGACATTTTGAGGAACCAAGACCACTTGAGTTTTGGGTCTGTGTCCCCAGAAGCATGAAGTTTCAAGATGTCACTGACTCACACAGACCCAGGCTCAGTGCAATGGGAGGTCGGCCTCCGAAGGCTGTTAAATCATCAAGTCCAACCCTCTGTGGTTCAGAGGAACAGGGGCTGCCCAAGGGTACTTGGGAACTCGATACCATGATGTCTTCACTCCCTAAACCAACGCTACGATGTGCCTGGCCCTGAGCCAGGCGGCGGCACTGCTGGGAACCAGCCAGGCCTGCTCTCGTGGACCTTCCTCTTGGCCTGGGTACTTACTTGTGGCCTTTAGTGTATTTCTGAGTTGGCTGCTTGGTTTATGGAGCGTGGCAAGCTCAGTCTGAGGTCTCCTCAACAACCCTCGAGGGAGAAAAGCCTCAGCTCACAGCAGCAGGGAGCCCCTCTCTGGGCCTGCCCGTGACCCAGCGTGTCGGTGCCCGGGTACCTGCTGATGTTGACCAGCACGGCTGTTTTCTTCATCAGCCGGAAGAAGTCCTTGTTGCAGAGGCCCTTGGTTTCAGGCGTTAAGGAGCAGGTCACAACGATGAAATCGGCCTCGGCAGCCAGCTGGGAGGTGGGCACTGGGGAGGGCACAGCTCCATCAGAGGCAAGTCCCAGTTACGGAGAGCAAGACGGTCGGAGGCCAGGCCCCCCCACCCCCCGATGATGGAAACTCCCAAGATGCTTCCTGAAGGCCTTGCCGCTACCTGCACGACTCCTAACTGTACAGTCAACAGCCACTCGTGGGACCCGGGGGTCCTACACTATTCATCCAGCTCCCTGGTCTAACAGATGGGGATGCTGAGATCAGAGAGGGGCAGAGGCTTGTCCAAGGTCACCCAGTGGGATCTGGGCCACTTGGGCTTTCACCAGCTGCAGGGTCCTCTGTGCCACGGGGTGAGGAATGGCTGAGGTTCAGCCTGCTCTCTGCACCCCATGCTGTGCACCCTGCCGGGCTGGATCCGCCTGGACACAGGCTGGGTGGGGCCAGTAATGCTCAGCCGTGTGAGGAGACAGAGTGAAAGCTCCCAGCAGCTCCTTCCCGCTGCCATCGCCCCTGCTGCTCTCCCATCCCCTGTGCAATGGAGACCAGGCACTCAGGACAGACCTGGAGCGCTCGCCTGGCCCTGAGAGAGCTCACTGCTGGCCTGGGCAAGTCTCTCTGCTCCCTGAGTGGGCTGCATCCAGAGGCAGGTAGATCAGATGACCCCTGAGGGACTGCAGGCCCTGGACACACCTGGAGGGCCGGTGTTCGCCTGCCAAAGCTGCCGTTGCAGAAACAGGGGAACCCTCTCACCGAGCACAGACGGGCTCCTGTGCAAACCAATGCTTGACTCACCAAACTCTGCCTGGAATTCTGCTGCTTCCTGAGGCTTGGGCTGGCGCCCTGAGTATAGAAATCTCTGGACACCAAATGGCTTCAGCCGCCGAGCAATGGCCTGGCCTGAGACAAGGGGTCAGAGTCATGGCTTGTCCCCAACCCCCCCACTCCCCTCCCAAGGGCAGGGGCAGCACCCAGCAGCTCCAGGGACAGGGAGCCCATGGGGGCAGGGGCAGATCCTTTCATTAGCACAGTCCCCACGTTAACTGCCTCGGTGTCACCAGTTCCCAACCAGCCCACACTGCCCTGAGGGGTCTGATAGCCCTTCCGATCTGGAGGCAGCACCACAGCTCCTCTGTGACTTATGCTGTCCTCACATGGTGTCCAGCCACCTGACGTCCATCTGCTAACCTTCCCTGAGAAGTGGACCTGGGACCCCT